CTCCTGGGTGTGCTGCGCTCTCGGAGCAGGGTTGTGCTCGCTGGTGGGTACCCCGGGAAGGGCTCGGTGCCGCGGGGTACAGGGCGCCTGCTCCCCTTCCTCATCCCCGCTCCCCTTCCTCATCCCCCGGCCTTAAGCCGGCGCTGGGAAGGGTAATCCGTCGGCAAGACGGGATTTGAGAAGGAAGATGGATTTGAGACAGACGGGGCCAAATTCGTCCTAGGGGAAGGATGATCGAGGAGCGGGTGGGACTGGTGTCAGGAGGGAGAAGAGGAGAGGAAGGAAGGATCCCAGTGCCCACAGGAGCATGGAGACCCCTGTTCCACATTCCCAGATGCCTCTCCAGTCCCTGTTGGGATCCCTGAAGTGACAACAGTGCAGCTGGTGACCCCAGGCTGCTCGGGACCCCATTCCTGGCTGCAGGGCAGAGCGTGCCTGGCTCCCCACACCCAGGGGCTCTCTGTCCATCCATCAGGGATGTGAGGGATCAGGGCAATGCCCGGGGCTCCCTCTGCCCACAGCGGGGACGGGATCAGGACAGGCAGACCGGGCTGAGAGCCAGTGCCGCCGGCACCCGGCCATTTCCCAGCACACCCCAGCCTGGGACATGGTGGTCCCAGCCCTTCTGCTGCAGAAAGGCAGTTTTTTGGCTCTCAGGGACACAAACGTCCCCACGTCCTTTGTTCCCCACACTCCTTTGGCACCAGCAGCCCTTTGGCACTGGGGAGTGGAGGCAGGAGGTGCACAGCACCCCGGTAACCCCAGCCCACCTCAATGCCTGGCACTGGGGTGCAGCTCTGGGACGGTCCCGTCTCCCCGCAGCCCAAAAAGCCGACTTTAGCGGGGACTCCACAGCGGCCACCATCAACCACTCGCTGACGCTGCTGCAGCGGCTGCAGGAGCTGCTGCAGAACGGCAACGGCAGCGACTCGGTGCTGCGGGTCCGCTCGGCTGCCTCCGACGAGCCCAAGGTGTTCCACACGCACCAGCTGCTGCTCAGCCTCCAGAGCGAGGTCTTCGAGAGCCTCCTGCGCAACCAGAGCGTTGTGACCCTGTATGAGCCGCCCGAGACCGCTGCGCTCTTCGAGAAGTTCATCAGGTGCGTGGGGATGGGGAGGAGAGGAGGGTGCAGCTCTCCTGGGAACCATGGGGAGCTCCACGGGATGGGGATGGCCAGATGGATGCAGCCAACGATGGGGATGTTCCCTTGGGAAGAACAGGGAACATCCCTTATGGGATGTGCGTTTTGGGAGGGATGTGCAGTTTGGGAGGGACGTACGTTTTGGAAAGGATGTACATTTTGGGAGGGATGCAGCCCAAGAGGGAGAGTTCCTTTCTCCCACCCTGTGGGATGGGTGTACCTGGAGGGATGCAGCCAAAGAATATGGATGCTTCTCTTCATGGGACGCAACCAGAAAAGGAGGATGCTCCGCTGGTGACCATGGAGATCACGTGGAATGGGAGGGAAGCATCTGAGGAGGGGGTGATGCTTCCCTGGAAACCCTGGGGACCCCGTGGGGTGGGAATACTCAGTGGAAAGCAGAGGCTGCTCCCTTGGGAACTGAGCTGCCAGGGATGGATGTCCGCAGTGTCACCACCCCCTGCTCTGCCCCAGGTACCTGTACTGCGGGGGGGTCTCCATCCTGCTGCACCAGGCCATCCCCATGCACCAGCTGGCCAGCAAATACCGGGTCTGGGGGCTTCAGCGCGGCGTGGCCGAATACATGAGGACCCACCTGGCCAGCGAGTCCAGCCAGGGCCACGTGGTGGGCTGGTACCACTACGCCGT